ATATGCGATATGCGATATGCGATATGCGATATGCGATATGCGATATGCGATATGCGATATGCGATATGCGATATGCGATATGCGATATGCGATATGCGATATGCGATATGCGATATGCGATATGCGATATGCGATATGCGATATGCGATATGCGATATGCGATATGCGATATGCGATGCATTCTGCAAGCATATGCCATATGCGATCTGCAAGCATATGCCATATGCGATCTGCAAGCATATGCGACCTGCAAACATATGTGATCTGAAAGCATATGCTATCTGCAAGCATATGTGATCTGCAAGCATATGCCATACGTGATCTGCAAGCATCATGCCATATGTGATCTGCAAGCATATGCCATATGCGATCTGCAAGCATATGTGATCTGGAAGCATATGCCATATGCGATCTGCAAGCATATGCCATATGCGATCTGCAACCATACGCCATATGCGATCTGCAAGCATATGCCATCTGCAAGCATATGCCATTATGCGATCTGCAAGCATATGCCATATGCGATCTGCAAGCATATGCCATATGCAATCTGCAAGCATATGCCATATGCGATCTGCAAGCATATGCCATATGCGATCTACAAGCATATGCCATATGCGATCTGCAACCATATGCCATATGCGATCTGCAACCATATTCAATCTGCAAGCATATGCGATCTGCAAGCATATGTGATCTGCAAGCATATGCGATCTGCAAGCATATGCGATCTGCAAGCATATGCCATATGCGAATCTGCAAGCATATGCCATATGCGATCTGCAAGCATATGCCATATGCGATCTGCAAACATATGCCATATGCGATCTGCAAGCATATGCCATATGCTTGCATATGCGATCTGCAAGCATATGCCATATGCGATCTGCAAGCATATGCCATTAACGATCTGCAAGCATATGCCATTATGCGATCTGCAAGCATATGCCATTATGCGATCTACAAGCATATGCAATCTGCAAGCATATGCCATATGTTTGCATATGCGATCTGCAAGCATATGAAATCTGCAAGCATATGCCATATGTTTGCATATGCGATCTGCAAGCATATGCAATCTGCAAGCATATGCCATATGTTTGCATATGCGATCTGCAAGCATATGCCGTATGCGATCTGCAAGCATATGCCATATGCGATCTGCAAGCATATGCCATATGCGATCTGCAAGCATATGCCATATGCGATCTGCAAGCATATGCCATATGCGATCTGCAAGCATATGCCATATGCGATCTGCAAGCATATGCCATATGCGATCTGCAAGCATATGCCATATGCGATCTGCAACCATATGCCATATGCGATCTGCAACCATGTTCAATCTGCAAGCATATGCGATCTGCAAGCATATGTGATCTGCAAGCATATGCGATCTGCAAGCATATGCAATCTGCAAGCATATGCCATATGCGAATCTGCAAGCATATGCAATCTGCAAGCATATGCCATATGCAAACATATGCCATATGTAAGCATATGCCATATGCAAGCATATGCGATCTGCAAGCATATGCGATCTGCAAGCATATGCCATATGCGAATCTGCAAGCATATGCCATATGCGATCTGCAAGCATATGCCATATGCGATCTGCAAACATATGCCATATGCGATCTGCAAGCATATGCCATATGCGATCTGCAAGCATATACCATATGTGATCTGCAACCATATGCCATATGCGAACTGCAACCATATGCAATCTGCAAGCATATGCGATCTGCAAGCATATGTGATCTGCAAGCATATGCGATCTGCAAGCATATGCAATCTGCAAGCATATGCCATATGCGATCTGCAAGCATATGCCATTAAGGATCTGCAAGCATATGCCATTATGCGATCTGCAAGCATATGCCATTATGCGATCTGCAAGCATATGCCATTATGCGATCTGCAAGCATATGCAATTTGCAAGCATATGCCATATGTTTGCATATGCGATCTGCAAGCATATGCCATTATGCGATCTGCAGGCATATGTGATCTGCAAGCATATGCCATTATGTGATCTGCAGGCATATGCGATCTGCAGGCATATGTCATATGCTTGCATATGCGATCTGCAAGCATATGCCATATGCAAACATATACCATATGTAAGCATATGCCATATGCAAGCATATGCGATCTGCAAGCATATGTGATCTGCAAGCATATGCGGTCTGCAAGCATATGCGATCTGCAAGCATATGCGATCTGCAAGCATATGCCATATGCGATCTGCAAGCATATGCCATATGCGATCTGCAGGCATATGTCATATGCTTGCATATGCGATCTGCAAGCACATGCCATATGCGATCTGCAAGCATATGCCATTATGCGATCTGCAAGCATATGCCATTATGCGATCTTCAAGCATATGCCATTATGCGATCTGCAAGCATATGCAATCTGCAAGCATATGCCATATGTTTGCATATGCGATCTGCAAACACATGCCATATGCGATCTGCAAGCATATGCCATGTGCGATCTGCAAGCATATGCCATATGCGATCTGCGGGCATATGCGATCTGCAAGCATATGCCATATGCTTGCATATGCGATCTGCAAGCATATGCCATATGCGATCTGCAAGCATATGCCATTAACGATCTGCAAGCATATGCCATTATGCGATCAGCAAGCATATGCAATTTGCAAGCATATGCCATATGTTTGCATATGCGATCTGCAAGCATATGCCATTATGCGATCTGCAGGCATATGTGATCTGCAAGCATATGCCATTATGCTATCTGCAGGCATATGCGATCTGCAGGCATATGTCATATGCTTGCATATGCGATCTGCAAGCATATGCCATATGCGATCTGCAAGCATATGCCATTAACGATCTGCAAGCATATGCCATTATGCGATCTGCAAGCATATGCCATTATGCGATCTGCAAGCATATGCCATTATGCGATCTGCAAGCATATGCCATTACGCGATCTGCAAGCATATGCAATCTGCAAGCATATGCCATATGTTTGCATATGCGATCTGGAAACACATGCCATATGCGATCTGCAAGCATATGCCATATGCGATCTGGAAGCATATGCCATATGCGA